TCTAGTCAGCCATGAATATTTATAAGAAAAAAAGTTTCGCACAGCTTGCTAAAGCACGTAGTCATTGATTTGCTAAAACGATGTAAGATTTCAAAATACTTAATGGGCAACAGCATCACTGAGCGATCCAACAGCAGAGCTCTTACCTTTGATGGGCTGCTGCTGAAATAGTAGAGTATTTTCTCACGCCGAGAGACTGCACACTCATTTTTGTGGGGAGAAATGTAAATCGGGTGGTTTTGAGACAGTTGGACTCTGCGGGGAGAGCCGCTTCTCACAAACGGGTAGGGAGACAAGGGAGGAACATCAGTCTGATGCAAAAGAGTGATAAAACGCATATTCAGTTAACAAAAAAAAAAGAGTGGAATGCATCTGGCAACTTAAAGCACCATAACGCATCCACTTGTTGTTTTTTACATTAGCTGATGACCCAGCATTGCCCAAGTATTTATTTATAGGGGGGAAATGTCTGGACCAAACGTAATTTCTAATGTGGGATTTTCCCCCTTACCAGAGGGAGCCCCCTTGTGGAAGACTGTGAAGCTGTTACCATGGCAACTCCACTGCACTGTACAGTAGAAGCCATTTCAAGGTACAATAGGCTATATCGTAACAGAACACACACCCCGTGGGGTGTTAGGGGTATCTTACTCCCAAAGTATTTGCTACCAGAGAGTAAGTCATCTGTGTACCTAGTTTGGTTGAAATTGCTCAAGGCGTTCCAGAGTTATGCTATATATAGAGAGAGCAGTTTAGACATTCTGTATGAGAATTGTGATAAGTTTTCAGAGTTATCAGCTTTTAAAGTTTAGCCTACAAGATACAAGAATCCCGTGTCAAATACAAGGTGGTTCCATTTTATCGTAAGGCAGAGATGACTTGCCTTTATTCATCTTAGAGATTTATTTGCAATGGACTTAGGTTTAAAAGAGTCCTCTTCTTACTATTTGCAGTTTCTGCCCAGATCACAAGTCAATATCCATTCATGGCTCTTAGTAACCACATGGATAGATTTTTCTCTCTGAGGATGGTTGGAGGATCTGTTTCCTAACCTGGTCTTTTGATTGCCTCAGAATTTATTCTATGTCACTTTTGTTTTTAAAAAAAAGCAAAATATTGTAATGGCAGGACAACCTGGGTAACTCCAGTTGTTAATCAGAGAGATAGTAGCTTACCTATTCTGAAGAAGGAAGAGATAAAAAGGGTTACTTACTCCGTTGGCCGAGGAATACTTCAGGGCAAAGTCTTTAATCTGGTCTGTGTAGACATTATTATAAAACTGAATCAGGTCTCCACGTTCTTCCTCCTCGGTGTCGCTATTGGCTCCGGTCAGTCGCGTTGGTGTTGGAGGGGCGCTACTGGGCTGCGGAACAGGCAGGGTGCTACTCGACCTCATGACTGGGCTGGAATCTCGGCTTGCTGCAAAGACAGAATGTGATTCACCGGATCGAATAGTTTTATGAAACCACTGGTTATTTTGGACTTTTTAAAAAAAAAGTCTAGTTGCCAGAGTTCCAAGTAATACACCCCTAACAATCAGAACTCCATGGCAGGTAGATTCCTCAAATAACAAGTTTTATTGGATCTATCATATTGGCACGGGCTCTAAAGGTTCCAGTGGTTTTCACCTAATTAAAAGTTTTCCCTTTTTCCCAAACAGTTACATGGTCCAATCAGGGTGCTGTTCAGTTGCTTGGTAACATCACTCCTCCTCCTCTCTTCAGCCACCTGTTGGAATGTCCTTGGTTCCCAGGGGAAAGTATCTTGTTTTGGCTACAAACCCCCCAGCTCTCTCCAATTTCCCCTCCCTAATCCTCATCTCCGTTGTGGCAACACTGTAGCCTCAAAGATGGCCTCAGTCAGGCCAACTTCAGAGTTGATACTGGTCGTTAAGGCACCAGGTTAGAAAGCGGGAGACCTTCCCAGTTCTAGTCTTCTACTGACTACATTCACTTACTTGGGTCCTTATTTTTCTCCACGGGGGAATTCTGTGAATTGTTTGCCTCGCTGGTGCCAGAACTCCTTCGTCTTCTGCCTTTAATCAATACACTGCGGTACACCTTAAAATAGGCAAAATTATTTCAGAAGAGAAAATGGCCTTGCTGAATAAAAAAAGAGAGAGCTTTCAATTGGAGAGTTATTCTTCTGATACTTTTCAAAGAACAACACCAAGCTCAGCTAGATGGAACTCTTGCAAATATAAGCGGCACGAATCCGAGATGCAGAGGGGAAGCGTTTCTGTATGCATTTCACAATCGTTTTATAGAAGGCCCTTTTCTCACTAGGTAGGACTGGACAGATATGACCCTCCTTTAATAAAACTGGGTGCTAATCTAGAAGACTACGCCAATATCTGGAATTTTCCCCTTAAGGCCCAACTGAAACTGATGATTGAAGAAAACGAACTCAATAAAAACAATTGAATGCAGCCTTGAATACAGAAACAAGAGTGGTGTACAATCAGGAGGCTGTGAGTTCAATCCTAGGTAGAGGCAGATATTTCTCTCTCTGGGCATGATGAGAACGTCTGCTGAACAAAACTCCGCATTGGCGACAGGAAGGGCATCTGGCCAACACTCAGCTCCATTCAGTTGTTTTGGTTTAGTTTATTGGATTTATATGCCGCCCTTCTCCCAAGGACTCAGGGCGGCGTACAACATTAAAAAAACACATTAACAAAAGTTTTTAAAAAAATTTGAATATCCAAAACAAACCCAATTAAAATTAACAATAACATTTAAAAAATAGATTAAAATTAACAATAATCAAT